CTCCATGAGGTGCAGAAAAATAAGATGAGATTGTTAGCTTTAAAGGAAAAGTCCGGTCATATTCAGAATTCAAACATCTGAAACTACTTTAAATATGAAATTATTACATACTGTTCAATAAATGATAAGAGTTTTTAATTAAGAGTAGATTTCATTTGAATTTGTTTTACTGGAGGCATCCATTTTTGTCAAATAACACTACTATACTATACAGCGATAGAATGCAGAAAAATATAATTTGAAATAAAGATGCAAGTTGCATAGAAGCAAGATAATAAGAGGTTAGAAGAAGATATTGTAACTTTCTGCAGGAACAATTAGGTAGATATAACTTCAATAAAATAACAACGATTTGAAATGAATCATATTTACATATGGGGAGCTTTAGTTTGAGATTTAAAGGCAGAATAGTAGAGAGGTCGAGTCTGTGACTGTTTGCGTCCTCGATGGGAGGGATCAGCTGCATACTAGGGGTGTAAATAATAATCGTTTTGTATCGATGCATCGATCCAACAGCCGACGATTCGATGTATCGACACGTCCGCAAGATAATCGATTCATGTTTATTTTTCCTCCGGTCTATTTTTATCCATTTGCTCCTGGGCGTAATTCTCCCTCCCGTGCTGCGGTGGCGCTAAACCTATTTTGGGGGCGAGTTTAGTCTGACGACGGAGGGACATGAGGGCCAAAAAGAGCGGAGATCCAGGTGGAAAAAGGGTCCCAGCGTTCTCGCTCACCTCGCTCTTCTAGCGGGTCAAACTTCACAAGTTGTTTTCCGCAATTTCGGTCATAAAAACAAAACAAGCCGGCCTCCTGTCTGCGGTTAGCTACAATTTGGCAGAGGAGCAGCGGAGCGTCTCTCAAGGGGGCGGGACGTCTGCAGCCGAGGTATTGCATTGCACTCATTGCACTGATATTGTGCAGTATTTTTTGATGCAACTTTTCTGCTTCTGTTATTTGCTGTTGTCTCTAAAAATAATAATAAAAAAAAAAAAATAATGATATTACACCTTTCATTAATTTATTTCAAACTTGAAACTTTGTTTAGCCTGTAAGGTGTAAAAAAAAAAAAAAAAAAAACGATTAATCGATTAATCGAATCGAATCGTGGTGTATTCTTGAATATCGAAAAATAATCGAATTGTTGGGTCAGGAAATCGATACTAAATCGAATCGCCATGATGGGTGTGATTTACACCCCTACTGCATACCTGCCAGCCTCTGGGTCCTGGAGGTGTACAGTTCCTAAATATAAGGACGATTACAGCCGATCCCCCTCTCTGCACAGCCAATGATCTGCTGCAGCCTGTCCTGGTACCTGGTGGTGTCAGCATCTACCAGGCAGTGATGAAGGAGGAGAGGATGGATTCAGTGATGGTGGAATAAAAGGTTGCAATCAGTGCTTTTCGCATTGCCTCTGCTGGGCGTTCTGCAGATGATGTTCTGCTCGCAGAACGCAAAATAATCCACGATGGCAAGAGTCATCCTGACATGTGCCAAGTTTAATATAACAATCTATCTGATAGGAGAGAGGAAGACAATGCCAATTCCTAAATAAATAGAGTATGCACCCTATTAAACATTTGAAAGTGGTCAATATTGTATGATTATGCCCGTATTTGAAAATAAAACATGTTTAAATCCTTTTTTACTTCAACCGGCAATTGTTTCAGCTGCATCTGAATGTAGGATGAACATCTGACCCTCTAACTGACAAAGAGCCCTTCAACCATTTCTTTCCCTCTGTACTTCTGACTGATTGAATGTCATAGATAGAGGAGTTTCAACTCAAATTCTCTGTCAACATTCAGAGATAAGATGTAGTGTATTAAAGAAGCTGCTGTTGACTCAATGATTATGCAGCTCTAAAAACAGAACAAAAATGTGTCAATTCCACCTATCCTGGTCTATTTTCTATCTCCTTCTGCTCCTTTTTATACAATGAGCAACAGCCAATACAGCACTGGCTTAGTTTCAGTGTTATAGAACAATATGAAAATTATTTATACAACTCCACAAGAAGTAACAAACTAAAATGAAGTAGAATATAGAAGAATTCAACCGATTGGCATTAAAAACATTAAAAATGAAAGAAACTTTGAAACAGAAGGTAGAAACATTTGGATTAAGCTCTAAAAAAATCAAACCCCATGAGGCTTCTGTTGGAAGTCATTTTTTGGGAAGGACTGAGCTGAAAAACATTATCTTGGTTAAAAAACATCTGCTATTAGTGTCTGACAAAGCAGTGACAGCAGATGTGAGACTAAGATGTAAATCTTTAGAAGAACAGATCATCCACCAGGTACTGAAAATAAGAGTCGCCTACAGGAAGCAGCTAAAGACGCCTTGAACAGCGCCATTTCTGACAGCTAAAAAACAACCATTGATCCGTTTAACGTCGCTGGCAGCTAACAGGCCAAGCAATGAACAGCAGCACGGCAGGAAGCACAGGGGGAGCTGCTGGAAGCAACGGTGTAAATAAAGAGCCTCGCTTTAAGTTAAACATCTACTTGGGTGGATCTGATTATAAAAACAAACACAGGGGAGCTACAGAGAGGACTGAGCAGATAAACCAGTGTGTGAATTCACCAAAAGGAGACAGACACCGGTGTCTGGTGGTGATGAGATCCATTATGTCATAACTACAGCTACATCCCAGGGAGATCGATTAAGTCAGTCAGCGAAGAAACCTGCTGGATTTTATTTGATACCACAAGAAAAAGTGGTTACCAGTTCTCCATGGTGGAGGTAGAGAAATGATACACGCTTTGGGGAAAAAAACAGAATAGCTGTTATTTAGCCCTGCTGAATCTTATACCCCTAAATGAATTGCGGCTAGATTCAGAAGTCACTGAGTTTAGTCAAGCTGTGTTTAAATTTAATCTCAGTGTAAATTCAAGCTTTTCTTTGAAAGCATTGTCAGAGGACATTGAAGAGACAACAGCTTCATGAAAACCAAGGAAGAAACAGACAGATAAGGGAGAAATCTATAAAGATTAGAGCAGGTCCAGGGTACAATCTACACAGCGCATGTTGGATCTCTCACACAACATAAAAGAAAAAAAGTTTAGACCAAGGCAAGAGCTAAGGAGTCTGTGGTATCTCTGGAGGAGCTGCAGAGTTCAAGAGCTCCAATGGAAGAATCTGTTGACTAAACAGCAACTATTCATTGGATCTATTCTGTGTGCTCTACATTAACGTGTTGGAAACAAAACCAGCCCTAAAAGAAAACCTCAAAGAAATCATAGCCTGGTATTTTCTCCTGTTTGCAGGTAAGTCCCTCATTGGTGGAATAGAGACATAACTTGTAACCAACACTGGAAAGGTATTTTTTTTCTTAAATTAAGTGCATTTGTTCTTGGATTGAGGAGGACATTTTCCCAATGAAACGAGACAACTTCCAGTTAAAATAAGAAAACACAATTGCATGTCTTATTTCAAGTGCATATTACCTAATAATCTTATTTTAAGAGTAAAAAAAATCATTCCATTGGCAAAGTATCTAATTTACCTACTCAAATTAAGGGTAAATACACTTAATTTAGGAAAGTTCAAATCCAGTGAAGGTGGCTAGTTTAAGGCCAGCGGACAGCCTTGGCTGCGTAATTGACTAGTCGGGGCCAGAGATGGGAAGTAACGAAGTACAAATACTTCGTTACTGTACTCAAGTAGATTTTTCTGATATTTTTACTTTACTTTGTTACTTATTTTTATGGCGACTTTTTACTTCTACTCCTTACATTTTTACACAAATATCTGTACTTTCTACTTCTTACATTTAAAAAAATTGGCTCATTACTTTAGTTTTGAATCATTTCAATGGAGTTACCGTTATTATTTTTCACGTCATCAATACCAAATTCAATCTAATTGGATGGGAATCTACGTTGCATTTGACGCACCACTACAAGATGAATCCACAGATTCGGCGGTATTCATTCGCAGCAAATCATTGCAGCTTGGTGGCGGTGGCGCTAGCATAGTAGTATGGACGACGAGATGATTGAAAATGAACACAACGGAGATCTAGTCCTATTGGCAGACATCCATTTAAAATGTAGGCAACGGCATGAAAAAAGTGGTTTCTACTTTTACTTTTATACTTTAAGTAAATTTACAACCCTGTACTTTGTTACTTTTACTTGAGTAAAGAAATTTAATCAGTACTTCCACTTTTACCAGAGTATTTTTTAACATAAGTATCTGTACTTTTACTCAAGTACGGAAAGTGAGTACTTTTGCCATCTCTGGTCGGGGCCCATCTACTCATACTTTGTATTGTAGTGCATATACTTACACACACACATATATATATAAACCACCAGAGCAGCAGCCACCACTAAAATCATCCCAGTGAAAGACACTGAAGTCTGCAACTTGCAATACTCTGCAAAAAAGCTCCTCTGTGATTTCATATCAGTGAAATCCTTCTGCAACATGTCTTAGTGAAGGATACCGCACACAGCAATAGGTCACCCAGGCTGAGCTCTCAGTCTAAAGTGTATTCAGTTATGCTCACAGGATTTATAACACCACTGTCTGGAGTCAGACTCAAGATTGCACGACTGCGATTCTCAAAGCAAATAAAGAAAACAAAGATGATGGGGATGCAGGAAAAGATGAGAGAGGAGCGAGTCATTGGCAGAGGAAGTCGAAGAAAATAACTGCAGGGACAGAGAGATGGATGTGAATGTTACAGCGGTGAACCTGAACCTGGGTGGATTCAGGAGGTTATAATGTCTTCTCTCCCAGACCTTATTTATTTTGCTCTAGTGACTCATTTCTTCTCAAGCACCTTGGTGCCTGTTTTATCTATTAATTTCTGCCTTCTATCTTTGAACGCTTGGCTCCTTTCTTTCAATTGTTTCCTTTCTTTTATTTCTTTATCTGATGGTGGCTTTTCCTCATCGCAGTGTTGCATCCTTCACTGTCACTGCTTCTGTGGCGTTCTCCTCGCCTCCATGCTGATAAATCGCTTTGTGCCCAGAGCGTAGCTGAGCTTGTTTTGATAAGTCATGTTCTATCAGGCTCTTTAAATAACTATGTTTCATTTTCTGTTGCAGAAGCATAAAGTGCTGCAGTAATAATTGAAATTATTGTTCCTGATGCTGTTCAGGTCTTGATTTTAAGGGTTAAGCACCCCAAAAAAATCGATTACAGTAGTCGTTCTATTTTTAGAAATTCTAGGAACCACTAGTAAACCTGCAGATTGAGAGCGAAGTGCTCTGTTAGGAACATAAGGAACAATCAGATCTCTGATATCAGATGGAGCTTGGCCATTTAAGGCTTTATATGTGACAACTTTTAAATTCTATTCTAGATTTAACAGGAAGTCAATGAAGAGAAGCCAGGATAGGAGAGATATGATCTCTCTTTTTAATTTTCATTTTTTTTTTTTTTCAATTCTATTAATATTGTTATTTTCACTGTTAAACAAACCTAGTCAACTCCAGCTATCTGTACATTAGAACAACATTGCATGGGTAGACATCCGCAATTCCACAGGATGTCAGATAGAAATGATTGGTCCTTCCTTTATCACCCCCCCCCCCCCCCCCAAAAAAAAAAAAAAAGAAAGAAATTAACATACAAAGATTACAAACATAACTCCTTTGGTTAAGATTGAAATGCTGGTACTTCTGTTATACAACGGGAAAAATAAGTAAATAATTTATGCATTGATGCATAAGGGTTGAAAAAGACAGGCCTAGAGAACAAAAAAGAGGAATAGGAAGATGGGGTCAATGGATACAAGAGCTATACACATTGGAAAAAAATCAAAATCTATATAAGTCATTCTTTTCTGAAAATAACGATATTGGTTCTTGAATTGAGGATGTAAAGGAGACATTTTGCCAATGGAACGAGACAATTCAGATTTAAAATAAGAAAACACAATTACATTGTTTTATTTCAAGTGCATATTGTCTAATTATTCCATTGGCAAATCATTGCATTTACCTGCTCAAATTAAGTGTAAATACACTTAAAGTGTAAATTTTCTTATTTTTAGATTGTTTTTCCAGTGCAAAGGATGGACAGATAGGGGAAACATATCTAAACCATCTTTATCATAAACAGATCCTGTCTTAAAACAAACGTAATTCATTCCATCTTAAAGATATTATAATAATGTCAAAACCATAAGCGTCGTTAGACCTATTTAAGGGTGGCTTCAGTCACCCTTTCTTTAGCATTAGCCACCCTATAATTATTTTGCGATTTAAAAAAAAAAAAAAATTTTTTCTGTATTTATTTTTTCCTCATATTTTCCCAAAACAAATGCAGTAAAGCACCGAATAAAAGCCATAAAGAAGACAAGTTAATCTGAACAATCATAGGCGTAACTTCCTTAAGGACTGGTGTGGACATGTCCCCACCAATCTTGACCGGTAGGGGGACAGTCCCCACCAATATTTTGTAGACGTATTTTGCTTTCGGTGCTGTGTATATCTGATTAAAACCCCATTCATGCCGCTCCTCAGAAAGAAAATAAAAAAAGTTCTCCCCGCTGCTCACCGTCCACAAACCCCGACAAAAAAACTCAGAAAAAAAGAATCTGTTGCCTCTCGCTTTCTCCCCATCACCCCCCTCCGCCCTCTCCCCATAACATTTGAATTGAAGATATCCGCGGGTGACGGGTCGGGTTCGGTTGTCATCCTAACGGGTTCGGGCGGGTGCGGGTTGGTAAAACTCGACCCATGCAGGTCTCTAAGCTACACTACATTCAGTATCGTTGCCATAGAAACAGACAACAGCGCCATATATCAGAGTTATACTAAAACACACGCAAATAATTTCCCACATAAAAAACAGGACTTTCAGTCCATTACAGTTTTCCGTTTTTAGACGGTTGTTTATTTTGCGTTTATTAAGTGATGGCTGTGGTATATTAGCTTTCACTGCTATAAGCTTTCGCAGCAGTGATTGATTAATTTAAACACCTGCTCTACTGATGGTCTATCGGAGTTGGTGTTTAGGTTGAACATAAAGAACACCTTTTATTTGAAGCTTCTTGTAGCTACTGTTTTAATCCCGGCTTTACTTAAAACATTTTCCTGACCTTGATAGTGTTGCCATTCAGTTGCAAGCACTGCGCCCCTTTTTCTTTTATATGTACACGTACATTTAAGATTTAGCGTGTTATGTTGACAACTCATGAGCAAGCTGCTTTTTGCAATCTAGCAGGAAGGTAAGGATAGGATCTTGCAGGTGTGACGTCACTCTCCAGGGGGTCCAAAGATAAAAGATTTAAACAATTTTGGCATTGGAATTTCAGATTTAAGGGAGTTAGAAAGTTCACTTAGTAAAAGTGCAAATAATAAATCTGATTACAGATTACTTTTAAGCTGGTTGAACATACTGCGACAGACTGGTGACCTGTCCAGGGTGATCCCACCTCTCACCCAGAACGTGGCTGGAGTTATGCACCAGCACCTCCTGATCCCACTGAGGGATAAGGTTAAAGAAAATGGATGGTTGAACATAGTCCGCCTTCCCAGATTCTATCAAATCAGTATTGATACCCTCAGGGGCGGATTTAGGAAATTTGGGGCCCTAGGCAAAGACAGGCAGGGGCCCCCCTGAGAAGAAAACCCATAAAACAGACCCATTCTACAGATAGAGAAATGTTAATAGAATAGACATCCATTATTTGTTCTAGGTTTTGTCCCTCTCTTCTTGTCCCTTTTTCCTCTCTATTTATCAGCGTTCTGATGGCATTTTAGCCAAAGGATTTTTATCAAAAACATAATTAATGTGCACAAATAAGGATTAGTTGTATTAACCATACATGGAAACAGAGTTTTATGGGGCCCCCAGAACTTGGGGCCCTGGGCAACTGCCTAGTATTGCCTAATGGTAAATCCCCCCTGGATACCCTGCTAGTGGATGTTCTTGACAGAAAGACGGAGTTGCTTAATCATATTCTGCTTAAGGTCCCATAAGATCTTGTCCGAGTCCTGGTTTAAAACTAAATTAATTTTAAAAAGTGACCCAAAATTGACTGTCAATAAATGTTCTACAAAATTGATATATTTATTTGATTTCTTTGATTTGTACTGTCTGTTTAGATTTATGTGATATTTTTTGCACAAAATATATAAGTGAATATTGTAACAGTTATGTTTTCAACTCTAAGCATTAAATTGATAAATGTTATTCGCATTTTTTTGGCTTTATCCTTTTCAACAAAAAGAAAAGGCGTCGCGCAGGTAGCTCCCTTTCCTTATGAGCCGTCCCCACCAACTTTCAACACAAAGTTACATCCTTGTCTTAGACAACGCCTTAGCAGGTGCACTGAAAAAATTCGGCGCGCGCTATGCGCGCGCATTATCTTCTAGGGGCTGAGCCACCCTTGTCTCTTAAACCTAGAGACGCCCCTGGTCAAAACATTTGTCCGCTGTAGGTCTTTCTAGTTTTAGCCACTTCCTTGTAACAGTTTTTCTCTTTTTAATTATCATCAGAACTCTGGCTGCAGCATTTTGGATCAGCTGAAGGCTTTTAACTACAGTTTGTGGACTTCCTGATAGTAAAGAACTACAATAGTCCAGCCTTGAAGTAACAAATGCATGGACTAGTTTCTCAGCATCACCCCTGGACAGGAGATTTCTAATTTCAATATTCCGCAGATAAAAGGAAGAAATTCTAGAAACCTCTTTGATATGAGATTTAAATGACAGGTCCTGATCAAAAATAACACCAAGATTTTTTACTTTATTATCTGAAATCAGTTTAATCCCATCCAAATGAAGTGACTGGCTAATCAGTTTCTTTTTCAGAGACTCTGGTCCAAAGACTATAACTTCTGCTTTGTCTGCATTCAGAAGGAGAAAGTTAAGAGACATCCAGGTTTTTATGTCTTCAGACATGCCTGTAATCTATGTAATGGGTTAGCTTCATCTGGATTATAGACAGATATAGCTGGGTATCATCAGCATAACAGTGGAAAGTTTATCAATGACATGAACAAACTGAAATCTGCCAGTTAAATCACTCAGATAAATATAGACAATGCCACATTGCGCCGCTGCCTCAAAGTTTTCATGAGACATTATACATAAGATATCTGTTGGAATGAACAAATGTGATTGGCTTGTTTTGTATTGTTTTCTAATTAGCAAGAGCAAACACGGCTAGCAGAAGCCAATGTGAAATCCGCATGAAATAAACCAAAATAAACAAAGCAATATAATTAACTGTATTTTTTTTAAACTGAGCAGCACAACAATTTTATTCATAGATGATATTTCAAACACTCTGGCTATGTTTCAAACATGGCTATCCCTTTGAAACCTAGTCCACTATAGAAGAGATTGGTGACAAGGATCAGTTCTGGATTAGATCAGATTAGATGGATGGATGGATGGATGGATGGATGGATGGATGGATGGATGGATGGATGGATGGATGGATGGATGGATGGATGGATGGTAGATTTTAATTGTTTACTGTCAGCATTGATGCCATCATTCAGTAATATACATTCACTGCAAAATAAAGTATTTTCCCACAGAGAGCAGGGATCTTCTCTTCTCTTTTTGAGGTTTCCTGTTTTTGCAGCCGCTCCACACTCCTCATCTTTGACATGTGAGGGTAGAAAACCTCCCGCTGTTTTGGTTTATCTTCCTCTTTGTGCTCCCTGAACCTTTCTCTCCATCTCCTCTGTCTCCATCAGCCTGTGTAGTGACATATGGTCGGTGGTGGAGAGCGGGAAACCTCTTAGCTTTCTGCCACTTCACATTACTGCTGGCGCTGACAGACATAGAGGGCTGCAACCACACACATACACACACCAGCTACAGTATTCAACACACATAGAGCCGATGCCTCCAGGTTCCTCTACATAAGGACAGATCTGTTTGCTAGTTCTCCAATGCTGACAATGCTCTTCAATGAATTCTAGGACCTTCTATCAATGCACCCATTTTAATCTTTGCCTAGACTGGCCTTTTTTTCACATCTTGACCACATTGGTTAGAGTTTAGAAAGGTTAAGTTTGTACTTTAACAAACATTCCTCTTTGAAAGCAGATAATAATTTGTGTTCCTGCCATTGTCCCTCCCCAAAACATTCAGCAGCTCCTTTTTCACTGGACCTGTTGCTTAAAGGAGACGTCCGGTCATATTCAGAATTCAAACTTTTGAAAGTACTTTAAATATAAAATGATTACATCCTGTTCAATAAATGATAAGTGTTTTTGATGAAGAGTAATTTTCATTTGAATGTGCTTTACTGGAGGCATCCATGTTTGTCAAAGAACACTACTGCCACCTACTGGTTTGTGACGTCATGGTGCGGTATCGGCTGTTGATCAAGTCCCAGTGCTGTATCTGGTGTTTGTCACAACGCGCTATTATCCAAGTCATCTTGAAAACATTCTTCTTCCAAATGTTGGCTACATATTACGTATTTTTTCTCTGACCAGAAGCTCGATGGCAAATCCTCCCTCTTCAAGTTGGCAATCCAACAACGAACCCGTCCGTGGAGGATCAGGAATCAGAAAGGTGAAATAACTTTTTTTTTTTCACTTTTCCCCGATGTATTCCAACATCCAGCTGCCATGCACGTGGGCATTGTCAGTTGAACTATAGCTCTGGTGAATTTCAATGGTGAAGTCCTCTGGAAATCTTCAATAATTGTTGTTAATTGCAGATGTGTCTAGTAGTTCCCATTGATTTAGCTTGTAAAGTGGGGAGAATGGCGCTAGGCTTACCGCACCGTGACGTCACTGCTGGAAGAGGACAGAAGTGAGGTGTTACTATATTTGGGCAAAAATGGCCGCTCCCAGACTAAGTGATCACAACAAAATTATTGTTTTTGTTTTTTTTACTGATTAACGCTAAATTGATTATCCACAAACGTATTAGTTTTAGGTATAGATAATGATCCATTGATTATTCCTTGCTGACCGGACTTTTCCTTTAAATGTTCACTTGTAATAAAATATTTCAATGCGCTTTCTCTGAAGGGCCCATACTCATTGTTATGATCTTGGCACTGATGTCTGGCCTGATTACTTATCTTCTCATCTGCATATCTCTGTGTGTTTTTTTGGGTTCTTTGAAGGAGACAGAATTGTCTAATCCAGAACTGATCCTTGTTACCAATCTCTTCTATTGTGCAGTAGGTTTTAAAAGGGATAGCCATGGTGTCATGATGGGTTCACTGAAGGCGACCCAGTTATGCAGAACACCACTGACGGACACAAGGATGAAGAGTTCAACAGTTTATTAAAGCACAAACACACAGAATGAACTGATTCTGGTTCGGGGCCTGGATACTGGTTCACCGGAGTCTGCGTGAGAGACAGCACAGTTAGCGATTTGCTGGCAGGGTTTTACTTCCAGAAGTTCACTGATTGTACCTTGAGGGTTCTTGAGGTTAGCTTTGGGAGAGTCACTGTTGGTTCTGGAGAAGGGTTCATCAGCAGAGTCCGTTTGCTGCTTCAGCGTCTCACGTCTTGTTAGAACAGACCTTGGCTTGGAAGTCCCAGCTCAGTCCTGAGCTGCTTGAGGTTTCTCAGAGGGATCTTCAGGGTTTGGCTAAGAGGGTCGGCTCGGCAGGTTAGCTCTTCCAGAGCTTTCTCAGAGGAGGCACAGGTTTCCTGGAAGACAGAGATAATAGTTAGAATCAACACTGCGGCGTTGAGGCAAGGTCTGAAGACAGCTTAAGTAGTGGATCCTCTGATGATCTTGACGATCTGCAGCTGTGCAGGGAGCTCCCTCAGAGGATCCACGGCGGACTCTGCTGGAGAAAGATGGGATTTCTCCAGCTCCCAACACATGGAGAAAAAAGTGTTTGAAACCTCATCTCTGAATTAAATTGTTGTGCTGTTCAGTTTTGAAAAAAATACAGTCAATTATATTGATTTGTTTAGTTGTTTCCTCAGTTATTTGGTTTATTTCATTCTGCCTAGTTCTCATTACCGCTCATCTGATCCAGCTGCCTCTATTTAACCAGCCCTCAGACCAGTCATCAGTGCCAGATTAATCAAGCCTGTGGTGAGAGTTCTTTAGCGTACCTGAATTTTTGAGTGCATGAGAAGGTTTGGCTCTCCACCAAGGACCTGTCATGAGGGTGGGAAGCAGGAAGCTGACACCTCGGTTCATCGGGCCATTCTCCATTGGCATGGTGGTGAACCCGGTGACCATCTGCCTTTACCTCCCTCGTTCTATGAGGATTCACCCCACTTTTCATGAGTCACAGTTCAAACACTTGGCAACTTCTAGGTCTCTGCCCACCTCCAGACCCCCTCCTTCCCCTCCCCTATGATGGGCAACTTGCATACATGGTCAACCGCATCCTTAGGTCCAGGAAGAGAGAGAAAAAAAGAGCAACATATTAAAATCAGATGTAATACTGGTGAGTTCTTTTATTTTCAGAAGATTCTGGGGGCACAAGGATGTGGTCCTTGAGGGCTCCTTGGTGGCCGTGGCACCACATTGGTGACCCCTGGTGTAGAGCCTACCAAAACACTCTTGTTGTACCTTTAAACAATGATTTTATGCTTTCTATCCTAGGTGGCAACTACCTACTTCATGAAATATAGGTGCTGATCCTGGAACTTTAAAACAAATAGGTTTGAGCTTACCTGTGACAGATGCTGTCCAGCCTTTACACCTCCTCTCGCCCATAGACTGCCAGAGATGACTCTGACACAGTAAGCAGGAGAAGATGGATGGACGGTTTTTGCTTAATCAAAGAAAAAACTGACAGATGAATAGAAAAACAAAGCTCAAATCTACACATATATGCTAAAAACAGCATTTTTCCAATCAAAACAAGAGCTCTAGAGTCTGGTGCTTTTTCTCTGTAAAGGAAATCCAAGGCTGCAAAACTGTTATCGGTGTGAGTGGGATGAAGTTGTGCAAGTAGAGCAGTATAAAAATGATGTTTTTGTCAGTATTTTACTGCTTCTATGTGTAAGTTTTTCTTCTTGAAATAGGAAATTAATGTTATATTTAAAAAATAGTTTGAAAAAGTATCAGGATCAGGAATTCAAGTAGAGAAGAAGCCAAGCCTGAAAGCCTTGTCTTTACCACCTTGACCTGGATAGATTGCACATTATACAACAACAACAAATCAGAAGCAAATGGTTGAACCATTCTGTAGCTTTTCAAATGAAATATAAAAGAAATTCATAATATGTAGAGTTGTGGTTGCCAGATTACCTTGGGAAATGTCTCCCGGTGCGTGGGTGAAAGAGATAACCATGCCTCCTCTTGGAATGTAAAAAGGGTTGCTTTATAGAAAACTTTCAGATGTACAGACACTGAAAACATGACAGTGAGGTGCAGCATGTGAAGGAGTATAGGAAGCAAGGGTGAAGGAGACAGCAAGTAAAGGAGAAAGGATTTTTTTCTTGAGTGAAATGTGCATAGTTACAGAGAGAGGCTGTTCATAACTGTACTTTAGCACCAAGGACACTACTGAGAAAGTCTTTATGCCTCTGTCACAACTCATCAAGCTGAAATAGCCTCTTTATAAACAAGTACACACAGAGAGCCAGGGTTCTTACATCAGAGGGAGGAAGAAAGCTGCTTCAGTAGCAGGGCAACATTCTACTCCAACTAATAAATGATCTTTAAACTCAATAGGAACTGGAAAATAAGGGAATGCTTCCTTCCCTGTCTTATTTTTTTTTAATTAGCTAACAGAATGATGACCTGCCATGTAGACCCTAGCCTCAGCGTTTGATGGGCTCCTCTTGTCTTACTAAAACAGCTCCTACCCACCCCCACCATGGCCTCCACTCCACCTCTGAAGGAAGCTCCTCTTAACTTTTACCTGTGTTTGTTGACCTGAACCTGAATGCCTCATCAATGCGCAGTAAAGTTCAGCAGAGTTTGGCTTATTAATCGGTTCATTGCTTTGAAACTAAGTGATATCAAAGACCTGCAGGACACTGGGCCTCATGGATGGAGTTTCAAACCAGTCCATGGTTTCCCCAACATCCAGATAGAGGTGTGCTAGTGGGTCATTGTTGACCTGGCTGACCAGGCGAGATGTTTTGGTCCCCTGCATAGCAAAACAATGACCCTAACGACTCCATTTTCAGAGCCACAGGCCAGTATTGGATATTGCAGGCCAACAATGACCTCAACGACTCCTCATTACTAAGGGGTGAACCTGTTCTTTGCAATGCTAACGCTAACTCAACTACAGAAAAATGAAAGTCATAAACTCACCGTTGAGTTAGCGTTAGCTTGCATGACCGGCTCCGTCATGGTAGTTTTCCTTCCGTATGAGCTCCACAAGCGTCACGTCACGTGACTAAGAAAGCGTAACGGGAGTGGCTGGGTGTTGGACACCACAATCCTTTGCTAATGTCTGTGACCTGAAGTAACCCTTCCCTTTTTAAACTGAATTTAGACGCCGAATTTAAGACAGTAAAATAGAGCCAGTTGAATCTCAGGAGGCTGAAAATTATGAGTTTGAATTTTAAAAGGTTGAATTTTTTTTATATGCAGATTTTTTTAACACTGAAAAATTAAACTGAAAAATAAGTATTGAAAATGTAATCACTTTGAAATAGTCATGGGAATTTTTAGCTTGAAGAGAAAATAAAAAATTACATTTCAACTTTGTAGAAATAATGACGATGATTTTTTTTTTAGGTCAAAAATGTGTTCTGAATATATTTTAACACTGAAACAGTAAGTACAAACATTTAAATTTCAGTAGCATTTTTAATTCAAATCCCAGCGACACAGATTTACTTCCATACATTTGCTCCAGGATAAACATTTAATCATGAATGCTTATTTTTAAGCCCACATTGTCCTTTTCTATAGTGGGATAATACACTTAGAGCCAGTTTCGTCAAATGAGGCTTATGTAAGACTTTTACATTTTAG